TTGTATATATTCAAATATCAAGTGTTACTTACATATATTAAAATACTAGGTGTTACTTACATATATTCAAATACTAGGTGTTACTTACATATATTCAAATATCAAGTGTTACTTACATATACTCAAATATCAAGTGTTACTTACATATACTCAAATATCAAGTGTTACTTACATATATTCAAATATCAAGTGTTACTTACATATATTCAAATATCAAGTGTTACTTACATATATTAAAATACTAGGTGTTACTTACATATATTCAAATACTAGGTGTTACTTACATATATTCAAATATCAAGTGTTACTTACATATATTCAAATACTAGGTGTTACTTACATATACTCAAATATCAAGTGTTACTTACATATACTCAAATATCAAGTGTTAGTTACATATACTCAAATATCAAGTGTTACTTACATATACTCAAATACTAGGTGTTACTTACATATATTCAAATATCAAGTGTTACTTACATATACTCAAATATCAAGTGTTACTTACATATATTCAAATATCAAGTGTTACTTACATATCCTCAAATACTAGGTGTTACTTACATATACTCAAATATCAAGTGTTACTTACATATACTCAAATATCAAGTGTTACTTACATATACTCAAATATCAAGTGTTACTTACATATACTCAAATATCAAGTGTTACTTACATATACTCAAATACTAGGTGTTACTTACATATACTCAAATATCAAGTGTTACTTACATATACTCAAATATCAAGTGTTACTTACATATACTCAAATACTAGGTGTTACTTACATATACTCAAATATCAAGTGTTACTTACATATACTCAAATATCAAGTGTTACTTACATATACTCAAATATCAAGTGTTAGTTACATATACTCAAATATCAAGTGTTACTTACATATACTCAAATACCAGATAGGAACATGCAACCAGTACTCTAGTGATGTTGTCAACCAAGATATATTACCAAAATATTTATTTATAACATAGCTGCTGGGAATTGCCCAGATCATTGCTTGAAGTTATGTTTTTAAATTCCAAATATTCTCTATTAGAAGTGCATGTGCTTAAATGTAAATGACAGAGGCAAGCCTATATTTGTCAATGATTTAAAGTTGTGCGTCTAATATGATAAATATGATATATTCCACTTTTGTACTTCGTGCCTCAAATACTCTTCATACATGAGAGTTGTTTTCTAAGGTTTCTTTGATGTATTTTATTGACATGTGTGAGAAGCACTTGATAGCTTAGTTACCCACTGGTTTGAATATTGGGTATTCAATTGATGTTTCAAGGAAATCTTTTTTTGATATCCTTTGATTGTCATTATTTATAACATCTGAAAACAAATCAACTTTTTATTTTACAGGATTGGGAGATGTTCAGTTCCACCTTATTTCCTACATCTATGGAGGAGTCTGTGTTCTAGCACAAGCGTTATATCTACTTTACATTCAGAAGATGGGAATTGAGAAACACATCTCAGCTGTGGGGTTCCTCTACATCAATAGCGTGACATGTATACCTTTGCTCATAATTTATACAGTAGTGACTTCGGAAATCCTGGCGGTAATGGCATATCCGCAATGGACAGAACCTGGATTTGTTGCTTCATATCTAATAGTAATTTCTATGGGATGTGTTTTAAATTATAGTTTGTTTCTATGTACCACCTTAAACTCTGCTTTGACTACAAGTTTAGTTGGTGTTGTTAAAGGTGTAGTAACCACGGTGATAGGGATGTTTACATTTGGTGGAGTTGAACCCACTGTTCTTAATATTTCAGGAATATGTATGAACACTACCGGTGGCATATGGTACTCTGCTATCAAGTATCAAGAAAAAAAAAAGAAACTGTCAGCTCTTTCTAGCAATGAGGAAGATAGCAGGAATGCAGTTTAGAAAATTTAACTCTTTCAAGGGCACTGTCAATAAATTAGATTTTGTTTAAAGTCTTCAAAAATGCACTCAAATTATGGTGGGTTAATGCATAGCAGACAGTGTTTTATCAAATATCTACAGATCACAGTCATACACAATACCAGTACTTA